AAATATTTCCTCGTTATCGGTGTCGCTCTCACGGTACCTGTGCACTTGCCCTCTAACGAATACATCTGCAGTCCATATCCGAGAGTTTCGGTAGGCGCGTTGTCAGAAATGACGTGGCAGCAGCCGCACTTGATACAAGTGTTGTGGATAAGCTGCTTCCAACATACATCGCTGGATATCAGCAAAGCATGCTGGCAACAGCTTATCCACGCAACTTCTATCAAGTGCACGTCACTTCCGGTGACACACCTACCCCAACTTTCGGATATCGACTGTACTCTACTGGTTACCATTAGTAGCCCTTATTGTTCTTTCACTTGACTGCAGGCATTCGTTACGGAAATTACTCACGGCTTGCCTTCCATTTCTCGACATCGATGCGGTTGTTGACCACTAGCTTATGACTTTCACATCATTTTATCGAGCGGCCTGCTTCATTAAGGTGCACATGTCAGTTCTTTCCGTTATCAGTGGCATTGCAGGATCATGGTGCTGGATAATGGTCGAATAATCGAGTTTGACTCACCTCAGACATTGTTGATGGATCGTGATTCAGCTTTCGCAAAAATGGTCGAAGACTCGGAATCCGAGTCGAAGCGAGCATAGATGGCTCTGATACTCACAAGCGGGTAACTACATATCGCATAGTGAATGCGAAAACTTACAGTCGTTTCTAGCCCTACCTTATTTGGGCTAAGCTTTGTAATTTAGCATGTTGTTAAGTTTTACGTCTTCATATTCGCATCGTTTCGATAATAAATCTTGCTAATTCATAGTTTTCTAATCAGAACAAGCAGATATGATTCCTGCTAACCAGGAAAGGTCATTTGGTCAACCCGGCCAATTGAAATGAGATGTATATGTGTATACGCGCCTTGGGACGCTGAGCTCAAATATGTGTTCCTTATCTGCTGAACTCTTCTCTGAAAGGAATTATGAAGCAGAAAAGCGCAGGGGCTGTGGTCGAGGCTCACGAAAAAGAGGTCAGGGGATCGACTCCCTGGCGAGTTTGTTCTTTTGCCGTTTGCAGTAAGATAGCTAGGAAGACTCCTAACATCGCTAGTCCAACATGCTTGCGTATAGTTAAAGTACAAAGAATTTAAGGGCAATTAATAACGAACTTGGGCGGCATCGCTCCTCACTACTTTGGGCGCTTGTAGCGCAGGCGCCAGGCATTTTTGCTTCGAACAAGTATGATATTCGTAATCAAAGCCATAGTCAAAGCGTAATGAAATTCTGACCTAAACTCGAAAATTTGGGCAGTCACTTACTCACCGATCCACCAATCCATTACAAAAGGCTGGCACTTGGGTAGAATAAACCTTTTAAACTTTTCATAATAGACAAAAATTGTGTCTGGCTTGCCCGTCTGCATCATCCAAAGATCTGCAAAGCATTATTTCCTAATACAACACCTTCTCTCCCCTTTCCCCGTCGTCCATGATTGGTCAACCCAAAAAAGTGGAGTTTGAGGAGTGGTAATCCCATCATCACTGCTCCGCTTTTTCTCAATTAGTTCATCGCCTCAGATTTGGCGAAAAACTCGCTTTTAGGGGTAGTTTGATCCCCTGAATACGAATATCGTACCTACTTGCCACGGAAAAGCATAGCACCTGCACTACGGGCACCATGGGCACTCACAGACAAGTAGTGCTTAAACTTAAGAGGATCTGCTTGCAAACTCTTCGTAGATGTAGCGTCGGGCGACCGTTGATAAAATAACGGATTCAAAAAGGCTTTTCAGCCATGTTGGAAAAAAAGCAAAACACCAAACCCCGGAAAGAAACGAACCCTGCGACCCTTACTTGCGAAGCAATAAAGAAAAAGCTAATATGCAATAGATAATACATGAACATAAAGAAAAGGTTCGTTTCACCTCTCAAATCATAGCGAACCAATGTAGTAATCAGCACTTGAGGTTCTTCAGTGATTTTATGCTGATCTTGTGGTAGTGGGTAAGTAGTCCATTCAAAATAAGGAAGGGAGACGTAGCGACGAGCGAATTCAAAATTACCAAAA